GCTCTATCTGCATGCAGTGAGACCAAAGCACCCATTTTAATTGATGATCGTTCCAGGATTTTTATCTTTTGATGATGATCATATGAATTCTATCCTCTTACATCCTGAGGAGAAAAAACCTCTGGGCAAACATACAAATAAGATTTTACTCTAAAAATGGATGTTACAATGCCCTTCTATTTTGCATTTTTCACAGCTAGAGCTATGTTTAAACATTTCTAATAATTGGTGACCAGTCAACCTTTTATTTCTCACTTCTGTAGGTAATCGAAATAATATGAAATACCAAGTGGCTATGTCATTCAAAATTTCAATTTCTGCTGCACCAGATTTACCTTCCCATTTCCTTCAGAGAAATACTGGTTCATGACTGAAATTTTGGATTTGCTTGCAACACTTTTGTGAATAATTCTCACATTCCAGTTTGAATATGTAAAATTGATTTTTTTATTTGATTTTTGGAGTTAGGCAGATCAAGATCCCTTGGCTTGATCATTACTGATTGGCATTCCCATGATTATTGACCAGTGACACTGAGTATCATAAAGATTTTGTATTATTTTGAGGTGAATTCATTTTTCCTACTTCAAAATACCCTACCAGCAACTATCAACACATGCATAATCAGTCAAACACTGCATGATCTTAACAAACCATTGCCATCAAAACCCTTCATTTTTCAGTGTCACTCAGATTCAAAAGATGGGTGAATTTTTCAATTTTGGATAGAGCTAGATAATAACCTTCACAGTCACACCTCAAAATGTCTGAAGGGAAATGTGAAATGAAATCCACACCATAATCAGAATGATTAAATGTTTATATCCATATGATAGCCAAAAGGATGACTACTAAAAAATATATGATTGAGCTCCTGAAGAAACTGCACCCTTCAAAGTGCCCTGTACTAGTGATTGAGAATATGTTTAAATTGACTATATATAAGTTAGTCACCATATGTATACAATATAATCTCAAGCTTTTATATCTCTCTTTTTGATAAATAATGGTTTAGGGCGGGAAACCTTGCATATCACTGTCAGACAAGTCTTACAAGCTACTATCATCAGTGATTCTCAGGTTGTTGGTGGGGCAGTAAGGTTCAACATGGAAAAAATTACCCATGCAATTGAATTTTCAAACTCTAAGTGATATTAAATCCAAGGAAAATAAAGACAAGTTTGGAATAACAGAGCATATATATATATGTACACAGTGTTGCAGAAATGAATGATCTATTTGTGACAAGACTTAGAATGGATGGAATATTTACAGTGACTGTGGATGTTTTTGATGTTGGTAAGTGGACCTGGTGTTCAATTATTTCATGATATTATTGTAACTTGGATGATAAACAAAACTTGAAAGTATGCAAAACTTTGAGATAGTTCTTCTAGTAGATTTAGAAATTGAAAGTGACAAGGCTAGGCTAAACTCGTAGGGTGAATGCTCAGGTACACATGATATGGAAAGAGGAGATGAAAAGTATCATGAAGACTAGAGTTGATAGGTCCGTTACTTTTTTGATAGCTTGGGCGATGATAATGGAACATTTGGATTTATTAGCTGTATCAGCAATCACCTTCTGCCTGTTTTCTTCAAGTGACAATTGGTTCTTTGGCAGCTCAATCTCCGAGGATTGCTCTTTAGCTTGGTTTTCAACCTCTTTGGCACTGGCCGTCAGTTTGTGGTCACTTAGAAAACGGACCTGCCTCCCTTTGATGATGAGCACATTTTTTGATAGGTCAATGATTGCTTGGTGCCCCTTTAAGATATCCAATCCAAATAGCAACTCAACCCCTTTGCCCTGTTGATCAACGAGGTGTGATAAGTTTCCAAATCAGACAAAAGTACCGTGAGTGGATAGATCCTTACCTCCATGATAGTAAACGAACAAGGTATATGAAGATCTGATATTTTCATATGAGCAGAATGAACTCTACCCAAGATCCTCGTGGTTCCCAAGCCCCTCGCAATACCACTAAATCTTCTGTCCATCAACCGCATGATCCTACAAAACCAAAGGATGTCAACAGAGATCAAAGAAAAAAAAATGGGAATCTTGCCTGATACATTAACCGGCAGAAAAAGATTGAACGTATTCGTCGTTTTTTTTTATCAAACATATGTCAGAAGGCTAACCCGGTAGTCTGAGCACAATTTGGACTCACTAGGGAAAAAATACAAAAAAAGCACTTGAAGAAATCAGTGAGGCTGAACTGAAAATTAAGAAATCAAAGCCAAAGAATGGCTCAACTGATTGTCATTTGGGCGCCCGAATCGACGAAGGCTTTGACTGGATGACCGTTCACTTCGACGTCCACATACAGCATCGACACTGTACCGAAACTTTCAGGAGTAAATTCGATGGCATGTTGCAGGTTCTCCCCAACGCACTGTTGTCTAATTTGTTCCTCGATTCTTCTTTGAGCCTGAAAAAAAGAGAAAAAAAAAATGATGAATTGGTGTGGGTTGTAGCTAAAGGATAGCTCCAGGCTACTTTACCTGGACGTCTAAATGGTTATCCATAGGTGGTGCACGAGGATTAAGAGTGTATCGAGATGACGAGGGTTTGGCTAATTTGAGCACCATGATTTCATCAGTTGTGATCCCGCATTCAGCCAGCGTGGTCTGTGGGGGCCTTTGGAGTGGGGTCCCATGCAAGAAGTAGTGTTGCTGGGCAGACGGTATGTGAAGCTGATCAAACAAAACACAAAGGAATCAGAATCGATGCACACTGTAGGCTCGGTTCAAATATTGTACATCGGTGGATTGCTTTACTTACTTCAATTTCAACCAATCCAGATAAAACCTCAAGGGTAATAGATGGGTCCACCTCAATTCCGAAGGGTTCCTCTCAGCCATCGATTATCAAGGTGAGATACATGCTGACTGAGAAGAGATGGTGGATAAATGTTTATGGGTACCAAGACATTATCCCGATTATCAACAATCTCCTTCGGCCTTTATGATGCTGCACCCCAGTCGACTAGATTCGGACCACCACATAGCCTCGCTGGAGGCATTGCCAAAGCTATGCAGAACCCCATGGTTAACTACTTAAATATGTAAGCCTCTCAGTGTGGCGGCGCAGAGAGGCTTGTGCTTTAAAGTTTATGGTGTTCAAAGTTGAGCATGCAAACATCTATGCGTGCATATTCTAAAAATAACAAGATATGACCATTTGTAAAATACAAGGGCATAGCCCCCATTTTTGCCATTTGGGGTCAGAGAGGGGTTTTAAATAAAAGGGAGAACAGGATTGGATGAATTATATTTCTTCTGAAATTTGTTGGTGATAAAAAGCATGTCAACTAGCAGAATAATGATAGAGATGGCCTCAAAATGATCAGTATGTGAAAGATAATCTGAAACAGCATTTGATTTTTTCATGATCAAGGCCTTTGAAGATATGGAACAACCTTGTAAGAATATTAAGATTGTGAGAAGAAATTCCAATTCCAATACAGGATATATTCATAGTAATAAAAAAGACAAAACAAATAAGGAAATCAACTCTGGTCAGTGGCAAGTGGCATTTCCTCCTAGATTTCAGTCCTGCATCCAATGCATGAATTTCCGCAAAGATCAACTAATTTTGAGGTGCATTAAAAGTCTCCAAGTCACTATGCAGTTTTATTTGGGCAAAAGCTTTAATAAAACAGCTTAAAAATTGTAGCAATACTACTTATTTTGATGTGTTGTGTATTATTTCCAATTTGCCTACTCTGAGAAATTTCTATCAAAATTTGATTCATTCCAGCATAGTGCACCACAAAATCAATTTCATGTACAAGAGCTGTTTCTTTAAGAATTTGCAATAATACCATTAGCTCTGTTTTTAAGGTTTTGTTTTTGTATAGCTCTCTTGCATTGATGCTTACCTCTCTGTATAGTTGTTCTGTATTTGTACCTAAGTAGCCTCATAAGGTGTGTATTCCCAAATTTCAGTTCTCAGTAATTGAGGCCTGTTTGTACATCCTGTTATACATCATAAATTGGCCCCTGGTTTATAAATCAACCACTGTCTGCGCCAAAATTCCCAAGACCCTGGGGTCACACATTATAAATTCAATGATTTATGGTATACTAGTACATGCCCATTTTTGGGGAGTATTGGTTGGTAATTTTATTTGCCCCAATTTTTTTATTGGGTGTTTACTCAATGACCTATGGGTTTTTCTTGAGTTGCACACCTGTCTGTATTGGTGTAATGCCGGCGTTGAAAAATCAAAAAATGTGAATTGGAGGTTGACACCAGCGTTAGATTGCACAACGGTTCTTTTGGCCCTCTGAGGCTATTCCTTTAGTTATATGTAAATAAAGGGCTGCCAAATGGGGCCTGGAAAATTTACCTTCAAGAAAACGTTTGGCAAACTGGAAGCAGCCAAGATGTGGGTTACTCCCAATGTAACTTGTCTTATGATTACAACAAAAAACAAAGTAACAATTTATGCACAGTTACTGTGAAATGTGATTCTGTAACTTCCCTTCACTTGCAGAGTGAATGGCTGGTTCAGTCTCTAATTTCAATGCAAGTGTTGGAATCAGCATGAGAAATCAACACAAAGCTGAATTGAGGGTTAACACCAAGGTAAGAAAGCCTGATGGTTTGTTTGGGCCTCTGAGGTTATTTTTTCAGTTATGTGTAGATGTACGCATACATGGATGACTAAGACTTCTCATTGTCAAAATTTGCTACTTTGGAAGGAAGGGCTAAAGCTTATTTGCTGGTGAAAATTGCCCAAACTCAAGATTTCACTAGCAAACAAAGTTTATCCAGTCCCTCTAAATCAATCCATCTGGGCAATGGGAAGTCCCCAATGGATGACTCTCTGTCACAAACTAGAACCCTCCCAGGGCAGAATCTAATTTATACCCCTTAGATCTCAATTTTTGGCCTATGAAATATTTTTACAAGCCTTGTACTGTAGCACTACAAAAAGTGTTGGATCACATTTTGACAATGCGCGGTGTGGTGTGCTGTGCCTGTTCCAATGCCAAAAGCATACAGCAGAGGTGTTGAGATAGCATAGTTACATACATGTGACAATCATTACAAGAGAAGGAACAATCATTATGGATGAGGTGTGGTATATACGGACAGGATTACATACAAGGCGTGGAGGGGGAGAACATATCTCGACCAGGAATGGAACAAAGGAGCGATGTGCATACGTGGAGCAGAGTGGGAGATCCTATCTCAACCAGGAATGGAACGGAGGAGCGGAAGTATATACGTGGAGAGGAGTGGGAGAACATGTCTCAACCAGGAATGGAACGGAGGAGCGGTGTGTAATAAGGGTACTTTATGTTTTACGTAAGGGTACAGGGTATGGATTGTAGAAAGTTAACCCCACACCGAATATTGAGGCGGAGGGAGGAAGGAAGGA